TATAACACGTGTTTAATAACTGAAAGAGGACCAATTAGTGTGTATAACTCCTAATTTAACTCAACAACATGAATTCTACAAAATTTTGTTGCTACTGTGTTGTATTCCATATATTCGTGCGGCTGTATTTATAAATACAGTAAGGTAATCCGCCTAAAAAATAGGGATTACAGCTGTTTAATTCTTTATTTCATGTATTCGCGCGATTGTATTTATAAATTGAGTAAGGTAATCTGCCTAAAAAAATAGGGATTACAGTTGTTTAGTTCTGTAATCCGTGTATTCACGCGAATGTATTTATAAATACAGTGAGGTATACCGTTCTATTCAATTTGACTGTATACATTGTATTCAATTCACTGATATTCATTATTCACTATTATGCATTAAATTCAATTCACCGTATTCAATTTGACTGTATTTAAACAAAAAATCAGAAAAACAGTGATATTGGGTTGTATTGAAAAAATACAGGTGAAAATATAATATACTTATACAAACATACAATGTATTTATAGAGAATACAATATATTTATATCATTGTATGTGACTCAATAGCAAAGAAGAGAAGAAAGTTCGCCGGAGATAGCTTTTCCGGCCAAGCAAAATACTGTATACATTGTATTAAAACTAAAAATGGAGACGAACAAAAACTCGACCCTCAAATCTTCTCTAGCGACTCAGCTCAGATTTCCAAAAGCTCAATCCGTAGCCATGGCCAGATCTGTTCGCCTACTCCCTCTTCACTTCATATCTATTCTCTTAGCTTTAGAAAGTCCACCATCGCCACCAAAATGGTTATTACACGGCTGTCTTGATGGAAAAGAGAGAGAGAGAGATTTGAGGGAAATGAGGGAGGATTGAGAATCTTGCTGATAGACAGAGAGAAGGATGAGACAGAGAAAGAATATAACTGGCGTACTTCACGCCTCCATAGAAGGATATAAAATAAATACTTATTTTGCTATAAAACAAAAAAGGTAGCTATAAGTAATAATATTTTAAAATATTATATAAACCAAAATAATTTTAATATTATTACTTATAGCTACTAAATAATAAATATTAGTTATCTTTTTCAGTGTCGTACTTAACTAATACTAAACTTACTTAAATGAGTATATTTAAAGGGCAGCCCGGTGTATTAAGCTCTTGCTATGCGCGGGGTCCGGAAAAGGAGTAGATTTAGAAACACAATAAATGATTTTGTGTTATTCTATGCAAATATTTCGAACAAATCCGTAAGATGACTAACATTTAGAACGGATGGAATAACAACGACAACTGCGTGTTAGTCTCAAATAAAGAGATTGGCTATACGATTCTTTACTTCTCCAGTAAAACTCAACTTATATCGTATATTTACAATACTTATCTTGTAGATATGATAGACTTCAACGATCCAATATTCACTATTATATAATATTATCATTTTTAAAAAATATATATATCTATAGCAAAAGGAAGAAAGATTTACACATAATTTTCATAAATAAACGGAGAGAATAAAAGAAAAAGAAAAGAAAAAAAGCTAGTGTGCTGCGGCATGATTTTCTGTAAAATTATTGGTAGGGTTAGACAGGAGCATGGATGCAGTTTATATTAGGCCAACAACTTGCATTAAAGCAGAAATGCGATGTGATATGTTAGCTAATACCTGGGTATGGAAAAATCCTTGGTAGGGAGCGTTTCCCCCCGAAAGGGGCCCTACGCGGCGCAAATCCTGATATAGTCGGGCTCCAATGCGGGTACCGGACACCGGGCGGGAAACCAAAAAAAAATGTTAGCTAATACCTAACGGAGGAAAATCAATATGTTAGACTGTGTGGGAACACGAATTCGACCAAAGAATACCACGAGATGTACTTTATTGTTTTTCTCAAAACCATCTCGGTCGAATTTTGGAGCAACAGAAAAGTTATTTTTGTATGATTTATTACATCACAAATTCGAGCTATAGAAACCGTCATTAATGCTGGTATTAGAGTAGGCTGTCTACACCACACTCTTTGGGTCTTTGGGGTGCGGCTCTTCCCTAAACTCTGTGAGAATACGAAATACTTTATGCACTGAGCTATCCTTCTTATTTCCGTTGAATTTTCTTTGCTTTATAATCATTGAAGGGAATTGCCTTTACCATTACTTGCAAATTGCAAATATTCCACTAATGATTCCTAAAGTTTTCTAATATAGATGCAAAATACAATATTATGATATCTGACTACTAGTAATACTCCACCAAGAACGGTAGAATAAAAATTGATCTTCTATAATAGTCGATAAATACATATCAAAATTTTCAGTGAATTCAATTTTTTTTTTTTTTTTTTTGGGTTTGGTTCTTTTTTAACACCCTGTCAGTAACGATGGATGAGATTAAGCAGAGGCGGATCTAAGATTTAAGGTTAATGAGTTCAACTTTTAAGATTTTTAAAATTGAACTCGTTATGTTATTAAAATTATGAGTTCAAATCTAATAATTATTCAGATATTAGTAAGTTTTAACATATATATTTAACATCTGTGTCGAAAGTTATGGGTTCCGGTTGAACCTGTAACCATAAGGCTGCATCCGCCCATGAGATTAAGCAATCCATATACTCCTAAAATTGCATCACACTCACTGTCACATAGGCGAAACTCAGAGGCGGATCCAGGATTTAAATCCTATGGGTTCAATTTTAATGTTTTTAACATTGAACCCATTATATTTTTAAAGCTATGGGTTCATATCTACTATTTTTATAATTTTAATAAATTTTTACATACAAATTTTTACTCCGCGTCAAAAGTTATGGGTTCAGTTGAATCCGTAGATAGTACACTATGTCCGCCTCTGGCGAAACTAGAGTATTAGGTACAGAATCAGACGAATTGAATAGGTTTAGCTTAAACTTTATATTTATATTAAAAATTCCGTTATATATATAATAAATATATAAATATTTAATTATAAATTTAATAATTAAAATAAATTGTAAACTCAAAAATATGTTTTTAATTTATAAACTTTAAATCGTAGGTTCGCTTCAATCAAAGACACGCATATAGTTTTTTGCGCCGGTGTGTCTGTATATCAAACACGAAAAGGATTCAAGGAACTTAAATAATCTAGGTGGGGACTGTTCTAAGTTACTGGTTCCAATGTCAAGCTATCTGCAATTCTGCAATATGCCTTTAATTTTGAGGATACAATTTTTCATTTTCAAAATTTTTAACTTAACTTCGTAGTTGAAAAGGAAATTGAGAATCAGCACTTAGATGAAGGACCAGTCTCACTCAAAACATTCTTTCTTGCGTCAAAACGAGGATTGCTGGACGTTTTTTTTTTTTAATCAACAACAACAATATACTCACTATAATCTAATAAGTGAGGTATGAGAAAGATAATATGTATGCTGACCTTACCCCTACTGTTAGAGCAAATAAATGCTAAACCAATTAGTGATAAGTTTAAAGGGGTGAATCTTAGTTATATCTAATAAATTCTAGATCAAACAAAACAAAACCCTTGTGTAACGGACGGATTTGAAGAACATTAAACAGTGGAATTAAGTTACTATAATTGACAGTGCATGTAATAGCATAAATGTATAATAAATGTAAATAAGGACAAAGATGATAATGGGAAAAGAACTACCACCCAATGATTATAAGATTGGAAGATTCCTTTCTTCTGAAGACAACGTGAAAAAGAGAGCAGTTGGAATATATATGGGATCTTGAGATTTTTGGATAAATTAAGATTGAACAACATGTGCTTGAATAAATGAATAAGACAACTTTTCGTATATTCCTTCTTTCAACTTTTACAATGTCTTCTCTTTTGTTCAGAAATGCAGATCCCTTTTTTGTTCCCTATCTTTTCCTATTTATAAGGGACATTCCCCAAAAAATCCTAAAAAGTACAGCATAAAGAATATCCAAAGGAATATTCTTTATGCCCACTTCTGACTTTAAGTTACCGTTACTATCCTATCTCGGCTGCCCGCTTCTAGCGTCGGTCTTTATGAGGACGTCCTTCAGGCGTTGTGTCGTGGTCGACCCCGTCCTTTATCTTGCTTATCCGTTACCTTGGTTACCAAATTTGGACCTATACAGTTAGTCCCTCCGCTTGTTGAGGTCGTAGCCCCGCACGTCCTCGATAAGCAGATATCATTCGTATTCGTCGTGGGAGAATTTGGCTGTTAAATCACGCCGGGGCGACTAAGATCGAGAGAACGACACAACCTGCGGAATCCTGATTAATATGGTTATCAAGGTGTGATGTCACTGCCGCGTGCGTCATCATTACGCATCTTCCCGATACAGCGTCTCTGTGCTTGTCACTTCGGTTTTAGCGCCATTGAGAATCATTTGCTTCGATTCTCGCGCCACCCAGCCCTATAAATAGGTGAGGGTTTCGTTTTTTCAGAAATTTTCGCCATTCCCTTTCTTGCATGTACATATTTTCCTTTGATCATCTTTATCAGTTCTTGTTATCAGCTCTGTTTCTGCGATTC